CTATAACCGTTTCGATTTTAGTAATGCATTTTAAGCTGAACCTCAACCTTTTTTTTAAATGTCAGTTAGGCTACTCTGGCGCTCAAGACCTCGTATATAAAAATATAAAAAATACGGTCACCCGCGGCGATTGTGACGCGCTGGTCGTATATATATAAATACTTATTTATTGCTTAGAATGTTTGTCAAATGAAAGATGTAATTAAGTAACTTAACAACTTATTAAGAATTTTGATTATAATAAATAATTATTATTTTATAATAATTATAAATGCAAACTCAATTTTGCGCTTTCCTTTTGCGAATCTTTCTATTATCCTTTCAATGTCAATTCCAATATCTACGTGTACGTGTAAAAGTGCTACACCTTTCTTTATTCATGGTACTGCGTAAGCATGTTTTTAACTGGCGAAGGGTAGAAAAACTTCTTTCTAAAGTAGCGTTACTAGCTGGAAGTGTGGCCAAATGCGAAGAAGTTTGTTAATCAATGGAAAAGCATATTCGTCGCATTTACCCAGAACTTCTGCTGCTGATTTTGGGAATGGCCTTTCGCTTACCTTATTTGTCCATCGTTCTGACCATACTTTACACTCTCCTTCCAAGTTGAAAGCGCCTTTTTCTAAGGAAATTTCGTATTGTTTTTCAAGCGATTTTATGCGTTCGAAAGCATAATTTTTTCATCTAGCGTATTCTATTCCCCAATTTTAGATGGAAGTAATTAGCTTAAATCAAAAAGGAGATTATGCGCATTTTAGCAGTGGGAATTCTGCTATTTTTCATCCCTTTAATCTTGTCCTACATCGGGGTAATACTGATTAGGCCGTGACTGGAGCTTGAGGTAAAAGTGATAGCTATTTAGGAAATCACCACATTTCCACATCAAACTTCTTTCAGTGGGATTCGATCGAACGATGTCGGCTGAAGACATTGGATCGAATCCCACAGAAAGAAGTCTGATGAGAAAATGCGGTGATTTTCGAAATAGCTTTCACTTCTACCCTTTTCACAAACTATTTTTGCTTTTCCAAAATAGTTTTTCATTAAAAACGGTTTCAAGTTCAATAAAAATCGTTGAATGTAAATTTTAAATTTGTTTTTAAATTTCTCATTTGAGGTAAAATATATTTTGACCGAAATTTTACTTTTGCTCTGGATGGGGGCGATCGCCCCTCCCCTGTATCCGCCAATGGTTGTTTGCCAGCAATGTAATTAAAAAAGTCAAAACTCAAACTCACGCACACATTCTCATTTTCTATCTCAAACAACAACAATTTCGAAAAATTTAATTTTTTTATTATCAATTTAATATGAGTTTTAAGGTGGATTCATATTTATAGTTCAGAACTTTTCTTCCATGTGGTTGTTGCTCTACAACTTTACGCCAATTATATTTTGGTCAAACTATTGTTTGAGAAACTGAGTCGGGAGTAAGTTAAAACTTAAGAACCTGTAGATTTTAGATTCTTAAGTTACGGCCTTAAGGAAATTGAGAGCGGTGACAGAATCAGGATTGCTTTAAAGGCGAACCGTCAAAGAGCTAAAAAAGAAATGGACATAAACAAAATTCTTTCTCTTCTAGCTTAAGTTCACGTGAAAAGTAATCATTGACGGCTTATTACATTAAGTTGAATTAAGTCTACACTAACTGAGTTTTTAGTTAAAATTAATTAAAATAATTTTATACTCGAAATATTTGCTGCCTTAAAAATAAGGTTCGCCACAAGCCAGATGTCCATTAAGCAGAAACAAACAACTCATTCACGGTCACGGTTATGGAAATCGAATTGGAAAAGCTTACCAATCAAATGAACTTCACGAGTGAATTCCGCAATTGTCAACGCATCATTTAACATCAAAATAAACAACATGCATATATAATAAACAACAACAAACGCAAAGCAGGGAAGTAGAAAAGAGGCAACCACTTTTGAGTGCGGCAGAGCTCCAAGCTAACAACGGACGCAAGCGCCTATTACATTGATGCCATGCGCCATCAGTGCCTCCCACCGCACTTCCACCTTCGATGCCAGTTACATGTCACCCTGACAAAGTCGATGATATTAATAGCAAAATGCCAGACTCAGTTAGGCCAAAAGCATAATGAAATGTTGTCATAATCATGGGTAATGGTAACGGCTGATGATTTGGTTGTTGTTGTTGCCTCTGTTCGTTCTTGTTGCTTACAACGTTTGCCTCGCAACTCGTTAAATGTTGCAAATATGGGAAACAAGCGAACAATTGTCATATGCAACTCACGATTGGGGCACAAATGAAATGTTCAAATGCCCACATACTTACAACAAATACACACATGCATACATAGATACACATATGTACTTACATATATGCTCGTAGGTGTGTACTTGTTGTGTAAGCACAGAACTGGCCCAACCGACTGCGAATGCAATGCGTTTACTATGGCGGCGGCAGCAAGTGCAGCATTGGCGGCGTCAGTCATTCAACGGCGATCGGTTTTGCTTTTGGCAGTTTCAGTGGCTTTTTATGTTTTGGTGGTCTTGTCTTTAGTCAAATGTCATATGCGACATTTTCAGCGGATATTAAGTGTGGGCTGATGTGAGGGACTGGGTAGTAGGAAAAAGGGCTTGGGTATACGCGATTGTTGTAATTGAAGGTAGGCAATTTGCAATGCATTGGGAAAATGGAAAATGTGTTTGTGTTGCTAATTGGAAGCAATAACCGATTAGTTACAGTATGGAAGGGAATTAAAATATTTAAAAATAGAACGGGTTTTAGAAAAGATTAAAACTTCGTCCAACTGATTGGCCTTATCAGCGTGGCTTTAGACATGACAAATCCACCATAGACTAGGTGTCGATTTCAAAGCTGCTTTCGAGAGCACGAAAAGAAGTTGTCTTTATGCCGCGATATCTGAATTTGGTATCGCCACGAAAATCATATTGTGCAATACCACCAGCTGCGTCAGAATTGGGAACGCCTTCACCGAGTCGTTTGATACCAAACGAGGTTTCAGATAAGGTGACTTCCTTTCGTCTGATTTGTTCAACCAGATGTTGGAGATGATAATAAATACTAGGACCCGCAGAACTGAACCCCTCGTGCATAATTCTTTACATAACATATCGCTCATTTACTTCAATAGAGTCCTAATCCAAAATAATACAAAATCAAGTTAAGTATGCGAAATGACACTACCTTTACTTTATATAATATGCAATAGTACATAATATGTATTTATAACAACATTATTTATTTGAATTAATAATATAAATGGAATTTTAGAAAATAATGTATATTATTCGATCGCAACTCCCAACTTTTTGTTGATGGAGTTAATCAATTTGTGCACTGAACGGCTCATATGTAAATTCAAAACTTAAAGCTGTTTTTTCTCGAGATTTAGGTTTTTGAGTTATGACAGTATTGAAGTATATAAATGAGCGACATGTTTATTTATAAATGCAAACATAAAACGTAACTACATGTTATTATTAAAAATCATGAGTCACACAAATACAATAATAATAAAAATTTTTTGCCGCTTACACTTTTGCTAAGCGTTTGGCCGAGCTGCTCCTAAAATTTTAAATGTACGTCTTGATGTTGTTACACAAATGAAGGAACCTACAGTTTTATGCCGCCTCCTAACGGCAAATGGTTTTAAAAGAAGCTTTTTCATGGCAGCAATGTACTCGGAGGTTTGCCATTACCTGCCGAGGGTTGACCGCTGTTAGAAAAAGCGTTTCTAATTTAGATGGGGGTTTCGAACCCAGGTCCTACTGAGTAGAGTAGTATGCACCTCTAACTACAGTTTAGTTGTTGCTTTCTTTCAAAGAATTAAAAGCAAGTCAGCTATACGTTATGTACTGGATCATTTTAAGTTCACTCACAATCTAATCAATAAAGTTTCGCAATAAAATAATCATTATGGCTAATGTAAGGTCAGAGGTTTAAGATTGCTCTGTTACAAATTTGTATAAACATAATTACTGAACATTTGTTATCAAAACTATTGCAAACAACATACATATATACATATGTAAGAATAGATTTACATAAAATAAGGGTGTAAGGGTGGCTCTGGTCGAGAGAGGACTTTATTGCTCAGTTGTCTACTAAGTAGCACTTGTTGTTTTTAAGTAATTCGTCATTGAATTTCAAGGAACACATTATTGTTGGTGTTTGTGCCGCTTCTCAGCAGACGAAGTCGCCTACTTTTTTCGAAATTCTAATTGTCAACAGTGACCGACGATTGAGAGAAATAGAGGTTGTGCCCATCATGGTACCGCTATTCCTCTCTCAGTGAATTTGACAGAATCGTTGTTTGTATGACGTCACACTTGTGCAACTTGTTTACGTTTTCTTGCAACATTTTTACTTCTTCTTCCATTCTTGCTCACGTTTTGGCATTTCTCTCTCGCAATTGCAACAGTGTGACGTCGCACAAAAGTTATTCTCAAAAATCCTCTCTGATGGGCGCAATCTTGTATTCTATCATTATTGACAGTGAGCTGGGTGCCGAATGCACTGATTGAGAGAAGTTACTTCGCCTTGTCCCTGTTTACTATCAGTCCCATTCCCTTTGCTTTTTAATCTAGTAGTAATTTCGATAGTTTAGTTCAATGATATCGATGTCATTGCAATACGCCAGAAATTGCACGCTCTGGTGAAAAATTATGCCTGAGTGGTTTAGTTTTTCAGCTTTTATTATCTTTACCAACATCAGATTAAAGAAATCACACGAAAAGGCTATAACTATATTGTCTGAAAAGGTCCTTCCCAGTTGGCTCAGAAACCGATGACAATGCACTACAAAAGATGAGTTAATCCGATAGGTGGCGCAGGAGTCGTATTTATAGTCTGATTTGATTCATACAGGGTGTGCCAAATAAGACCTACCAATTCTTTATTTTTTAATATTATTGTTATTTTTTTTTCTGCATGTTATAGTTAATCTCTTGGAAAATCATAATGGATACTCACAGCAAGACCACCAACAACGACT